GGTGTCACGATTTGCGCCTGCTGTCTCTCGAAGGTTTGAGCTTCTTATCTGAATGAAATGCAGCTGGTGATTGGTTCAGAAGACAGAAACATGAAGAATCACAAGCTAAACTAGGGAGCTAATGCTAAAGATGCTAGTATTGCGCTTATTTATATTTCTGTTTTGTATCAGTTTTTTTCACTGAATTAATTATTGTAGCATATTTGTGTTTGCACAACATGTCAACAGAGACCAAGCTAGCTGCTAGCAGCTTTAGCAGTAGCAGCTAGCTTAGCTTGCGGGTTAAAGAGTGTTTTCTTCTGTTTCAATTAAAAAACAAAAACCCATAGAAAACATACTTTACATAAATTAATTTAGTGGCTTGTTGATCACAAACTGTTGCCATTCGTTGGTGATAAACTATTTTCATCATGGCGGCTCAGAGGAACGATCCGGTTAGCCGCTTAGCTAGGAGGCTAACAGCACCACAGCTTCTTCCCTCCAAACAAAACTAATCAGGATAAAAATATTTCCATTTTCCTTTTCAGTTTTGATTATTTTATACCAAAAACTCAAATATTTTCTACCAGTTTCTACAGTCACAAAAAGTTTCTTCAGTTTTGGTCCTTATTTAATTAATAAGTAATAATTACATTAGTTTTATTTAAAGCCAGATTACTTTAGATCCTTAATGTATTACACTTTAAGAAAACTAATGAAAATCTCCACTGATTTAATTTCTTTAAGGATATAAAATCATTTTTATGTATTTAGAATCAGTTCATTTATCAGGAAAAATGTTATTTTAAAAAAGGGGAAATCTAAATAATGGCTGTTTAGTCACAAATCAGAGCTAAAAAACGACTTCAGAGGAAAACACTGTGATTTGACTAGGACCCGTTATCTGTCAGATCTTATTAGTCGCTGATTCAGAGTTCAGACCAAATTTAATATATAACACAACGATTTCATTCATACTAGTAAATTTCATGCAGTTTAATGAAATTATATGCTGATTTGAAGATTTATTTACAGTTTATCTGTAATTCATGAAAATCCTCCCAGTAAAAGATTTAAACACACGAGTACAAAACGCAGAATCAGGGAAATGAAAGCAGAGAAACACAGAGTGGGATCTAAATACAGCCACTTTTAAAACTAATAAAGATTTATTTATTAACTTTCTGTTCCTCAGCAGCTGTTTGCTGTGAACTGACAGGAAGTGATGTCACGCTCCCCTGACTCAGAGGATCAGATTTATTTAGAGCGGCGGTGTCGGATGCATCTTCCTGTCATTTCATAGTTTTTATTTGATCCCTGATGCTCTGCAGTGCTGCTGAGGTTTAGAACAACATATCAGAAATATGCAGCTGTATTCACAGTAATAATAAAATGCAACTGTAAAAAACTCAAACTTTTAAAAGTTTGTTTTTATGTGAAGCTGAAATATGAGGCAGAGGAACAGAGCCAGGAATCGGCTCCGACCTCGTTTTTCCATAAACGAGTTTCATTTTCTGTCGGTGAAACATTTTTATTTGTCGCTGCGGTTTCTGGGGTCAGATTCAGTCTCACAAACATTCACAAACATTCAGCTTTTATCTGCAAACTTAACGTAAAATTATTTAACATTTTGTACAAATGTTGCATTAAGTACATTTCATGATACTTTGTTTTTCACTAATCAGTGAATCCCAGCTGTGAGACGTTAAACTGAAGTGATTTTGTGATCAGTGGAAATATTCTGCAGATGGAGAAACTTGGTGAGACTTTCGTTAAGAGAAAACAGGAAGCAGCTTCGGCCCAAAACCTAGAAAACAGAACCACAAGCAGGAAGTGGCTTTAGTTTCGGCGGTGAATGCAGACTCAGCGTCGCTTTCGTCAGACTCGATCCTCAACATGTCTCGGCAACGTCTGTTTGCTCCCTCTGGTCCCAGAGGCCCGGTTTGTTTGGACAGACGGATCCAGAATAAAGTTCTGTCTGCTGAGCATCAGGATGATGCAGCGACCGGCCAGCAGGGGTCGACCTTCAGCTGTCATTTGGCCCATTAGCTTCATGCTAAACATAGCAACGTTCCAGCTGCTGCTGCGTCTCAGTTTGCTCCTGGTTAACTCTCCAACATCCAGGTCTCTCTAGTTCGATGGGGACCACCATGTTTCTACCAGTCGCCTCATTGGCCCCAAATCCAGGAACTTTGGCCATCCAGTGATTTTCCTAAAGGTTTCTGTTATCCACCTCGTTCTGGTAATAAGGAGCTGACTGACTTTAATCCTGTTTTCTGCTGGTTCTGGTGCAACAGGATCAGCAGGATCTAAGATCCAGATCTGCTTCAGTCAGACGCCTTCAACTCCACAGGTAAATGTAGATCGTCTGATTCCCTGAACGTCTCTTTAGCCGTGAGCAGCGTCACTATGTCTCTGTTGGGTGGGCTGACCCTGACCCCGACCCCAACCCCGACCCGGACCCGGACCCCAACCCTGACCCAGACCCTGACCCTGACTCCGACCCAGACCCCGACCCAGACCCTGACCCTGACTCCGACCCTGACCCCGACCCAGATCCCGACCCAGATCCAGACTCCGACCCAGACTCCGACCCCAACCCAGACCCCCCATCCCACTTTAGTCCTTTCACAAACCAGAGCTGGACGAATACGTTACCGTTTGGGATGGGGAGGTGGCGAGAAGCTAAACGGGCGTCTTAGAGCTGAACAGGCAGGTGAGCAGAGGCCAGGTGAGCAGAGGCCAGGTGAGCAGCGGCTCACACAGATCCTGATCCTTCTGCAGGTGTAACTAGAGACTCTCTGTAGTTAAAATCCAGCCGATTATAATGAGAATAAAGGTTAAAGGTTGCTGGTGAACCGTTGGCAGGATAAAGTTTAAAGTATTTTACATGACTCAGTTGTTATAAACATGCTGCATATCAAATATGACTGAAAACATTAAACTATAATTCAGCATCTTGAAATTTGGTCTCTGTGTCTTTAAGAAGCTGCTGCTCTTTCTGAAGCTCCGCCTCCAGGAAGTCATCCCAACATGGCTGCTCTATTAACCCTTTAACGTTTTTACAAGCGCTGCTCTGAGAACCTGATGCAGTTCCAGCTGCTGGCTGCTAATTGATGCTGGCTAGTCTGAAGGAGCTGTGGGGGAGGAGCTGCGCCTCGGAGGCGGGGCTAGGTTCACCCAGGTGTTTAACAGCTGAATGGAGATGAAAGGATTTCTGAAACAAACTAATCAAAGCGACGCTGCAGGTCATAACAAGATGTAAAGATAAAACTGTGGCTTTGACGCGACACCGGCCCTTTAAATGTTCCCCGCTCAGCGTCCAAGCAGTGATGTCACATAAAGTCTGAGTCATCTTCAGCTCCTCTTCAGTTTGTTACACAAACGAATCGGTGATGAAATCCTGTCATTGTGTTTCCTCACCGCGTTCAGTCGTCCCTGAAGCAGGTCAAAGGTCACAGCGGCTGACTCGGCCTCAGAGTTCTGCTTCCTCCTGAACGGCCGGAAATGAAATCCTGACTCATATCCCAGGAATCCTGAGGGAACTCCAGACGGGACAGAACCGGATCCGAACAGAACCGGGTGGAGAGAAACCAGGAACCTGGTTTAAATCAAAGCCACAGAAATCCTGAGATTAAACTGGTTTTACTGGATTAACCAGATTAAATGACACCAGGACAGACTCGCATCTTCATTCTGATAGTTTGGATGTTTATGAGATTAGAGTCTAATATCAGACAATAAAATACTTTTTTCTGTAATATAAACTTTATTTTATCTCAGGTGAAAAAACATCTGATCAGATAAATTTGGCATAAAAATTAATAAACCAATAAATGAAAATGAGTTTGATCATTTCCATTATGATTAAAACTTTCTAAGGGAAATTCTGTTTACAGAAACGTCATAATCCATTTTATTTATGGTTTTATTTTCAATATTTAAAATATCTTCTGGTGGAAGTTTTCTTTACAAAATTAGTTTATGAAATTGTATAATAAATGATCCATTATCAAAATATTACAAGGAAATGGTTTCCAAATGAAAATATTGTTTGTTGCAATTATTTAATTTGTCGTCCACTCTCACTCTGCTTTTTAAACACGAAACGTCAAAATGTAAGAAGCCAATGCTGCATTCCAGGATATTAATGGAAAAATTTAGTGGAAGGAAAACCTTTGGTAGAGTAACATGCAGAAGGATAACTGAAGCTGAGCCAGAAATCACAGCAACTAACAGCAGAGCCACAGGAAACAGCCACGGCTTCTGTCGCTTTGTGGCGGTGACCGTTTCCATGACAACGGTGTGGGGCGGGGTGTCACATGATCAAATGGTTTCTGGATTAAATCTCTGAGATTCTCTGATTTAGGAAACTGAATTCTGAGGGAAACTGTTGATGTGTTTTCAGCATAATCAGAGCGCGGGCTTTGACTGGACCACGCGCAGTGTGTGTGTGTAAATAAAGTGTCGTTTTGTTGCTTCAGTGTTTTAACTCTTTGGTTAAATGTGATTTTTTTTGGCGTCTCATTTCTCCAGTATCGATGTTCAATAAACAGCATGTGTGTCACAGACGCCGCGTTGTTGGAGTGGTCATTGAACGCGTCGCAGCAGGATGTCCAAGCTGCGGTCTGGGGGCCATTTGTGGCCCGCACAGTGATTTTTATCATAACAGAATAAATTAAATCTTCTTTAAATCTTAATTATATTGTAAATAAGAGCACAAAAATAAACTTTTACTCCCAATTTATTGTAACTGCAACACAAACAAATCCTAACAGAAAACTGTCTTATAATAAAACATCATCCCAGAGATTTTTAATAGCTTTTTCTCCAAGCAATGACTTATTTTATTTTTGTAAATGAGTATTTCTAGTTTAATATTGAACAAATAAAAAATATTTGACTTTGTATTTAGAAATAATTGTTTCCTGTTTGTCCAACATCTTTCAATTACAAACAGTTTTGACCCTGATGGCAAAAATTAGGTTTCCTGAGGTAAAAGTTAAAAGTATCTTCAGGGATTTGACTAGACCAGGGGTGGTCACTCCAGGACTGGAGGGCCTCTTGCTACTTTTAGATGTACTTCAACACACCTGAGTCAAATACTGAGGTTGTTAGCAGAACCTGATGCACTGAGGAGATTCAGCTGCTGGATCCAGATGTGCTGGACCAGGGAGACGTCTAAGAGCTGCAGGACCAGGACTGCCCAGCCTTGGACTAGACCCTTTCTCTGAATCAAACATGGCTGCTCACAAAAATCTGAGATTGCTGCAGAAATTATTAGAAGATAAAATATATAAAAACACATTTAATTGTAAAGGCAAATTATTTTCAGTAAATTACAATAAATCTTGACCTTGCTTATTTCATTTAGTGTTTACTTAAATTTATTTAAATTTACCATTATTGCCTTTACAAATTAATCAAATTAGGATCAATAAAATTTGGCTTTTTTGTCAGAAAAACATTTGACGTCAAAGTGAAAACTGATTTCTACAAAATCATGACAAAAATATGTAACTTAAAATAAGTGATTGTATAAATATTTACCATAAATGTAGACAGCAGGTCCAGGTTCGGTTCGGTTCGGTTCTGCAGTGGATTCTGGGCTCCTCAGACCTCCAGGCGGAAGCTGATTTATTTATTCTCATTTATTAGTCTGTCTCTGCAGGAAGTTCGGTCCGGTTCGGTTCGTACCGACTCGAACTCTCTCAGGACACCGGAGGCGGTTCGGATGAACTGAGCAGGTTCTGGTGGTTTTAGAAACCGAACCGAACCTGGACGTGTCAGAAGAACCAGCCTGAATGTTTTAAACCCTCCCGGTGTTCGTGCCGCCGCAGGGCGCCCCCTGCCGGCGGCTCTCCGCGCAGCGTGATGAGCCTCAGCCGGGCTTCCTGCTGCTTCATCTCCCGGCAGTGGTTGATGAGGATGAGGAGGGACTCTTCCTCTCGGTGCACCCTGACCTCCGCAGGTCCGCTGAGAGCCTCCATCTCCCGGTCTGCGTCCCGCGGCCTTTTATTGGTGAAGAACCACAGAGTTTCTTACCTCACTGCTTATTTTCAGACTCAGGAAGACCGAACAGGAGGATGAGGAGGAGGAGCCTTCATCAGCTGCTAAACAGAGACAGATTCAAATATTTTATTTTTGTTCTGGTTTATTCACAAAGTGAGAATTGACCCAAACTGGTCCCATGTGAGAACGTAATCAGCCCTGCTGTTAAATCACGAGTTAATGTCGATTTTTCTGCTCCTTCTAACCAGCCGACCCGATAATTTCTGTAGAACCGGAACCGGCTGACAGCAGGAAGCAGGAGTTCACACCCCAATGCAGTAATGCGCTAGCACTCAAGCTAATATTTAGCTTAGCACTATTAAGCATGCCTGCTAACTTTGAAAATATGTAGCGCACTTAGCTTCCACTAAATTAATTTTTTCAGATTAATTCTGAAAAAATTTATTGTGTCATTAACATACGATAAGGGACAAGATGGCTGAATCTAGCATAAGCTAAACATGCCATCTAGCATGCTGGTATAGCACTTTAGCGTTAGCTTATGGTAAATGTCCAGTTGGTGTTGTGCTTTAGCTTTAGCTTCAGCTACATATCCTGGTGGTTCCGGCCCGGTCGGTTCTGGGTCGCCTGCTGTTCGTCTGACGGAAAGTCGATCCGTTTCCTCACTGGATCTGAGAAACACAACAAAAACTGAAGAGTTAAAATTTCAGGGTCAAAGGCTTCAGCGTTGACTTTAACTCATTACGAGTCGTTTTAACCCTTGATGAGTTAAATGGGTCCAATGTTAGTTATTTCCAATAGCTGATTGCACCAGGATTGATTTTAAATGGTTTCCAGTGTCCATCGGTGTTGAATAAACTCTGATAGGAGGAAAATAAGCTCCTCCCTCCTTCAGCTGATTGGCTAACGGATCACAGGTGTGAGGAGAGAGAGAGAAAATGGCACAGGGGGCGAGCGAGAACACAGAACAGGAATCTAAAATTAATCAAAAACTGCACATTAGACACTGAACCAGAAAAAGAAAGAAAAATGACACAAAAAGTAAAAATGATAAACTGGAATCACTGAAATAAAATTCCAAACCTGGAAGGTAACATAAAAAACCTGAACTGAGAGTCAGAATGAGCCACCAGCTCTGATCTGATGCTCTGGACTCTATTCTTCCTCTAACTCTGGTAGTTCATATTTAGCTCTCTGGCTCCCTCTGGTGGTCGTGGAGGGAACAACACTTCCACAAAGTCTGACTCTAAAAGGCACAACCAGGCAGTTATCTGATTTCATTTCTAGATCTATCTGCTTTGACCTCACATGTAGAAAAACACAAACCAGATTCAACTCTAGTCATTAGAGACTATTTATTTAACATTCTAAGTCAATGTAGAAAAGTTGCGGAAAAAACAAAACAAATTAAAATAACTGAAATCTCAATATGAGCTCCAGATGACCGGATGTTTTAAAGTCTGGTAATAAAAAATAAAAATCATTGGTTCTAAAAACAAAACGTCAAAAACCTGAGAGGAAAGAAAAATCCCAACTAAATATTTATTATGGGTTCAAACACCAGAGATATTTTAATATTCATTAATAAACAGTGGAAACAAAATGGCTCCACTGTTCAAGCTAACATCTCTGCTCTCGCTAAAGATTGGCAGCTTTGCTAATGTTAGCCGTTAGCATGTCACGTAGCCTTGCCTCCAGGTATTTCCGGTTGAATATTTTAAATATTCTCAACAAAACAGCATGAACAGGAACATTTTGAGAATTACTTTAAGTAAGCTAGCTTTTTAGGTAGCTGTGCTAACCACTGTGTCTGACATGAGATTTTTACCAACTGCTTTTTGCTCTTTTGTGAAACTTTACTAGAGAAAAACAGTTAGCAGTTAGCAGACGAGGAAACTGAAATAAAACAGATTCTTTCTTTCTTTAACTTTCATTTCTCTTTATTGCAGGCGGTACAAAGCAACGATGTTTCATCCGTTCACATCATTCCTGCCTCTCAGGCACCAGAAACGGTTTTATCATGATGGACATCTGCAGGAGCTGAACCTGCTTTGGGCCTAAAGGTTCAGCCCCTGAGGAGTTCACAGGATCCAACAGGAGTTCTGGATCCGACCCGGGTCTGGCTCCAGTTCCCCTCACTGGGAGCCATCCCGTTTGGACCTGATGGTTTCTGGTTCCGGTTCATCAGATATGATCCATCAGACGTTTCTGACCAGAACCAAACATTTAGTTTCTCAGTTCTGGAACCAAAACTAAAGATTGGATCAGTGGAGATTCTGATCAGATGATCCACCGATCGATCCGCTTCCTAATCCTCACTGACCTTTGACCTAAAGTAGCCTGAACTCAACAAGCCAGTGGTCGGCACCGCCACTTAAATCTAAATAACTCATCATGAACATTAGCTACGCTAACGCACTACACCAACATGGTATTTAGCAGAAGCTAAAGCTAAAGTGCTACACCAACAAGGTATTTAGATGAAGCTAAGTGCTCTAATTGTTAGGAAACTTAGCTAAAGTGCTAAACATTAAACTAGCTCTGCTATTAGCGCATTAGCATTAGCATTAGCGTGCTCAGCTCTGCGTCCAGGCGTCAGATCAGATTTATGTTGGTTTCTGCAGGTTCAGGACTGGGAGGCGTTTGATGGTGAAGGTGGAGCTAGCTGCTGGAGGTTCTGACCCGAAGGTGGAGCTAGCTGCTGGAGGTTCTGACCCGAAGGTGGAGCTAGCTGCTGGAGGTTCTGATCCGGATCCAAACCGGGTTTTATTGGATTCAGTTCTGGACAGAAACAAACGGGTCAAAGACAGACGGATTACTTCCTGTAGAGGAAATCATGAAACTGTCCGAGGATCCGGTCGGATCAGAACTCCTGAGGAAAAAACGGAGCAACAGGAAGTGGAGCGACCGGGCTCTGTGGCTGGCAGAGGCAGCATCATGCTGTGGGCCTGAGGCAGAGCCTTTGGTCAAGCTAATCGAAGGCAGAAATCCTCAGAATGAAGGATTTGTAACGTTTGTTTCTTGGACTGGACTGCAGGCCTTTCAGGTCTGTTTGCATAAAAATACAGATTTATAACGAAAAACATGAAATAAAAACCAAACTAATCATTTAAACGTCACACAGTTCAAACAAAACATCATCATGGATGTTCCTGTAAGGCAGAAAGACGTCAGAGTCCAATAAACAGCACATGATGCATATTGAGACGCAGCAGATCAGAAACTAAACCATCATCTGGAAACTGGGAGGAAAAGTAAGTATGTATGTAAGTACACCCTGTCATCCAGCAGGGTGTACTTACATCCTGGATCTTCACCAGGATCTCACATCCTTCATGGATTCTGCTGCAGTTTGAAGCTTCAGAAGTTTGTAAAATCAGTTCCAATAAATAAAATCAATAAAACCAGTCGGCCATTTTTGTTTTGTCTCTGCTCGTTTTTAGCCAAGCAGCAGTCGGTTTGTCAGTAAAACTGTCAGACGCAGTTAAATACTTTGTAACATCTGCAGGTTTCAAGACGTTTTTAATTCAGCTGAAATGAAACATCTAAATCCAGGTGATGTTTGGAGGATCCAGCTGGATTCTACAGCCTGAACAGAACCGAACCAAAACCAACAATCAAAATAAGCTAGCTAGTTAGCATGGAGTTATTAGCAGCTAGCTACAGACCAAGTTTAACTCCTGTGATTGGTGTATTTAAGGCCAATTTTTAAGTCGTTTTAAGACTTTAAGGACTCTGCTAATAATTCTGCTGATGATTTTACTTTGATTACAAATAAAAAATTTAATCTGAATCAACGGCGGACCGGGTTAGCAGATGAAAAACCTTCGTGCTGAACAACGGTTCCTCTGTTTTCATCATGCAGGATTGTTTACGTTGGTCTCCATGGCGATTTTGTTTCCCTCTGGGATCAATAAAGTAATTTATTTGCATCAGATTAGATTAGGAAGGTCTAATCTCCCTAATCTAATCCAGGTCTGAAGTTTGATTCTTTCCTGATCTGCAGCTGGCGGCCGCAAGAATCAGTCTGAGGGCCAAAAATGGAGCCCAGGCCGCAACTTTGGACACCCCTGGTCTCGTCCAATCACTGACTGAGAGGTTATGCCCACATCCTGATGCCTCCACCACCGTGCCTGGTGTTCGGCCCAGAGGACGTCGTCACGACGTCTCGGCTTTGCTCACCTCAGTCCGGCAGCCATCTTGCTTCTAGAGAGAAGAGGCTTTCTCCTTCAACTCTGGCAAGCAGCCGTGACCTTTAACCTTTGACCTGATGCAGAATGATGGTTTAGTTTCTGATTTTCTATAACAAGATTGTTTTCATTTGGAAACCAGAAAAAGTCCGCTGGGCGGTTCTGGTTCTGTGAGCTGGAGGAGGCAGATGGTCCAGTCAGTGTGGTTCTGGTCCAGTCGTGTGGTTCTACTCGGTGTGGTTCTAGTCCAGTCGGTGTGGTTCCGGCCCAGTTGTGTGGTTCTGGTCCAGTCGGTGTGGTTCAGGTCCAGTCGTGTGGTTCCGG